TAAGGAAGTGAAAAAATAGATTAAAAAAACAACAATATTTTAAACAGGCACAAAAAGTGGTTGTGTGTGTTCACGCATACCAGAGAGTGCAGTGGAGCCTCGTAGTTTGGCGATGATGCTCCCTGTCCACCATTCCTCGACCAGACAGCTGAACTGGCGGCTATGAGAGAGGAGCCAAGAAGAGGAGATGGGGAGATGATTACCTTATTTCAAACTGACATCCTTTCATCTGCATGTTCTGTGAAAGACTTCTGTGGCCCTTTACAGGATAAGCATGTACACAAAAAGGATGGGTGTCTGTCTGTGGATTATAGCCAAAACCTCCTCTCCTTTCATATGTCAAAAAAAGAAACCATGCAAACACCACATAAAACATCTTTACACACAAGGAGTCTCTCATCGTATCCACTTGTGTGCTCGGACATAATAGACACAGAGATGAGGAAGAAGAGACAAAAGCAAACCAACTCACATCTCATAGCAGAAATGCTAATATCAGGCTCTTGTCTTTGAAAAGGTACAAGTGGTTGATTAGCATGAGCCCTCTACAGAATAAACAAGCTTGGTGCCTCTGTTCTTTTCTGCTTTTGTTTGTTGTTTCTCTGAAGCGTTGTATCTGAATCGACAGGTCTCATTAGCTGGTAGACAGAGGGGAGACAGTGACTGTTCTGAATTTCCAGATTATTTGTGCTGGATAGAAACCACAAAGGCACAGTCACACCAGAAACAGTGCAATTCATTTGCATATGTTCATGAAATATGTGGTTCCAGAAGCTTGGTGATCTAGTGACTATATGTAGAGATAATTGACTACTGTAGCCAACTGTCTTCTCTGTAATGTGCTGTTTAATGGCCCACTGACCTTTTATTCTCAGAATTATCCATCATTTCATTATATAAAGACTTGCATAAAGGCTTTCTGAGCTAAAGGGTTAATCCTGTCTGCAAGCAGGGCAGTAGGTTCCCACAGTAGTTGTTCCATTGATGGTCTGCAAACATTCCTCTATTGTAGAGCAGTTTATATTCTGACAGAGAAGATTAAATAGAAGCGGGTGGTGACAAACATGTTGATAAGTTACAGTAGCTGCATCTATTTTGGACTTTTGGGCCCACCATTCCCTCAGAAGCTGTCAAGACGGCTTTCTATTGGTCAACAGTGCAAGTGTCAAAGTTAATCAAAATTGAGATGAAACAGTTTACCTTACCCTGTTAATTCCCTTGTGCCAATTTGGAATGAACCTATTTTGCTGCAAAATGTTTCATATGCTGGTTTGTCCTTGGGTCAGCATCAAATGTTCCAAAGCTAATGCTAATGATATTTACATGCATTTGTTATTCCATCTTGACAAACACAAACTTTATCTTACAGCTTTTTTACTACAAGTGACAAGTTCAGAAACAACTGCTCAAGAATCAGCTTTAGCCAGGCCAAATAACAATCAGCGAACATTTAAATGTCCAGAGATCGGGTCGTCGGGGCCCTTGCCTTCGACTACTGCCCAATCCACTGTGCACCGGCCCCTAACGGAT